TACATGATGTGACTAGGTCGCATTTTGATGTGTTTGTAGAATCGAAGAAATGAAAGGGAACTTAAAGGAAGAGTAAGTTGATTCTGATCGCGAAGATGGATTTCGATCGCATGATTCGAATATCAGAATTTTGAGCTGCTGCTTAAGAGTTATGATAGATTGCTTAGGAATACATAACAACATAGTTTGCACATGTATTTGCATTGTAAGGATAAGTTTTCCGCAATTTTAAAATAAAATAAAAGTTTTGATTTTATTTATTTTAAGTATCCTTACAATGACATTAGTGGAAAATTGGTGTTTATATGATTCCATTGATAGCAATATTGGAAAATTGCTTTGATTCTTTCATTTGTGGTAGTGTCATAATTTACCAAATAAAGAAAGATTTTCATCACCCAAGTTTCAGTTGGATTGAAACTTGGAATCATGCAACTTGTATTGTATGATGAATGAGAATTTTCATCTTTGGGAAATTATGACTAATTCCTTGTTCACGTGTAAATGTGAGACAAGTGAAGGACTAAAGGATTGGGTACACTTGGTTGTGCGCTGGTCAAGTCCACCACAAGGAATGACAAGATTATTCGTTATGATTTACTAAAGTTTAGTAAATATGGTTATGCTTACAAGTTTATGTGTAATTCTGAAACATTGGAAAAGTTTCAATGCAAGGCAGAACGAATGAGAAGAATCAAATTAGGCAGAAAGATAAAAGTTCCTTCAATCTGAAGAGATGGGAGAGTACTTTAGTATCTTGGTTTATGATTATCTTAGTGATTATGAAACCATATGACAATTGATCCTCTAAGGACATCTTAGTGAATTTGTATGGCTAAGAAGAGGAATCGTGAGTTTGTGAAATGGTTAAATCAAAAGATCAATCGTACTTCGTTCCAAAATCAAATCTTAGAATCATACTCCAAGATTGAGCCTTGAGTGACATAATCTTAAAAAGGTTTAAAACACTTGTCAAATATAGAGTAAAATGTTTTCTACTCTGGTACATTTGAAATTGGTAAGTTGTGATGTTTTGACCAACTAAGACCAATTGTATGAAGTGTTCAACTTGATAAGAATCCGCACTAACTCTTGAATATTTGTTTTGTCAAGGAATGGTTCTTGAAAAAGAAAATCTTATATGTCAAGAGGTCAGTGGGAGTCTTAAAAGACCTTGAGATAGTTTCAAAAACTAATCAAGAGTATTGTTAATCACTAGCCCACGGTTTGAGGTTTGTAACCTATCATGTTGACATATTCTTATTTCTGTGTCTATTCCAGTTAAAAGTTGACTATGCTTGTGAGTTCTATGAGTTCACAATTGTTTGCATAACAATCTGGAAGTAATGGTAGGCCCTTGAGCTTCCAAGAGACAAGAAATTAAGATTAAACAAGTTCAGTCCATATGAGTTTGGATTTGTCACTAACCTTGTCTTGTGATTATGGTTATGACAAATTTACATGGATAGGAACACATACACCATAAAAATCTAAGTGTCATAAGGTTTTTCTCCGATTCATGAAAATGATGGTGAGGAAACGCTTTCACTAAGAAGATTTTAAGTAGATTGCAGTTGTAATATTTGCATTCTCAAAGTCGTTAGTGGAGCGTGTGTGGTTAACCGACACACTAACATGGACTTGTGAGAAATGGCAAAAAGGTCTAGAGGACATCCCTTTTCATAATTGTTTAGACACACAGGTGATCTATCTACGAAAAGGTGTATGATTTTGATAAAGTTTTATCAAAGCATCTCGTATAAGAAATATGAACTTTGGTAAGAAAGTCAATACAATATTGATTTCTAAATGTCCAGATGATTTCTGGGTACATGTCAAAGCTAGGGGGAGCATAAGTATTATGCTAATAATTATCATGTTAGTGGGAGCATGATTATTATGTTAAGTGTTGCAAGTCAGCAATGTTAATTATAGAAAACAAAAGTTTCAATTTGCAAAGTTGCAGGGTTTGAAAAGTTGTTTTACTATAATTAAGGGAGAGGAAATTATACTTCATTCCAATTCTAAAAGCTTAGATTGTGAGTCTTTAATCAAATTTAGTCACGATTACATTATTTGCGTTCTAAAATTCGATTATGATTACGGCATCCCTCTTCATAGTCCGAATTGTGAGAACATGACAAATATAAAAATTATAGCAAAAGGCTGGTCTAGTATCATGTCTTTATGTGAGACATTATGAATCATATCCCATATGCTTTGGGTATAGGATCGATTACATATGCTATAATATTTCCATGTGTTCTAAATTTTCCAAATGCCTAGGGCATTAAGAGGGAAAAGGACCAGAACTGAATATGACTAAAATGATTAAACAATTGTTGAGGAAAATCTAAGGCTTACCAAAGATTGGTTGCTCATGGACAGTTGGAAGTATAGTGTAAATCTTGGAAGGACCATATTGACATATTCTGAAAAGAGGCAACTATTGGTCAGAAGTGATAGCCAAAATGGGAATATGAAAATGTTTCCATAGGTGAAAGTTATTCATCAAATCTGTGTAAGATTAGAAAAACTTAATGCAAGAAGGATGTTCAAGGGAATGTACTTTGAATGTGAGACTTCGTTTCCATGAAATTGCTCTCTATTGGAATACTTTGTAATGTCTGTTGCCAAGTCTTTGTGACTTTTGTGCATAGTCACTACAAGAGGATCGTTGCATATAAGTTTAGAATCTAACAGATTTTAGTAAATGTCTAAGAATCTTGTATTCTTACATTTATCATAAGGATTTGGAATTGTGAAATGGGCATCATTGAAATGTTGTCAATTGATCTATTTCACAAAGATAGGACCATAGGTAAACATAGTGTGCAAGCTTGGAGCATGGGATAACTATTGTTTTCATTCAAGGATTAAGTTGATTATTTGAAACATTAAACATGAATAATGAGTAATCAATATGGCTCAAAAAGTTTTGGGGCCATATAGGATTAATATTATTCTTGTGTTTCACTTTGCATGTTTTGACTTCCCGAATAACTAGGTTATTCAAATCATCCACAGTCGATCATACTTTGGAAGTAGGTATTGAGGCAAGACTGTTATGAATGGGTATGTAGTTTGTCTGGGTGTTTTAGACATTTAGACATAGCTGCAGTGTTCATGAGTGCTCCTGGAATAAGATTCGAGTATTGGATTAAACCAACACTCATCTAATCACTTCATGGATTTTATCATGAGTGATTATTGAGACGATAATATCTTATATTCTTCAAACTGAGAGATATGAGTTGTAGTCTACAAGTCGGTTACACATTGATTATGTGAAAACGCATCAGTAACTTGGTATTATAAAACGCATTTTTGTGTGTGATTTGATGAGTAAATAGAGCAAGCATATGAGTCGAAGTTTATCTATTCCTTTTACCCTTGGAGGGATAAAAGCGATATCTGTGGGCCCCTCGATGATTTAGTGATGACACCCCTAAGTGCTTGGCCAAGCCTGGACTGATTTGATTTGTTCAATTAGTCGGTCGTCATAAATCGGAAATCGGGAAACAACAGATGGACAGAGAGAATGATTATAATCCATGTCTCAGTCCATATGATATCTTGTAGAATGAAGGAATATATGATCCCTTATCTAATGGACGCGTCATTGATTTGTTTAGAGTTCGATAGCGGCTTTAAGAGCTACGATTTCTAGTCGGGTTGTGAAGTCGTACTTGCAAGAATTGTTATTAGACTTATCCAAGTGCGAGACTGTTGGATTAGTGTCTAAGTCCAAAACTATAATTGGTATGTACTTGACCCGACCCGACATGGTCCATTTGGGTTGCACTTCACCGGGACAATTTGTATGGATAGACTTATGAGAAAAGGATATTTATGATTTATTAATATATTATAAGTTCTAATATATTAATATGAAATCATATTATTTAATTAGTATTGATCAAAAATTAATATGGAATTAATTTAGTGATCAAAAGAGACTAGTTAAATATGGACTTATATAGTATGGGCTAATGTTATTTAGGATGAGCTAAGCCTACATGGAAGTCCATGGAGATTTTAACCCATAGATCCTAAGTAATGTGGAAAATCATGGGTATTAGGGTTTACCCTAATCATGCATACTATATAAAGGAGTCATTGGCTCATAAAATTGGTACTAGTGTGTGTGTAAGAAGCTTGGCCGATTTTGTGAAACAACTCTCCCTCTCACTCTTACTCTCAAGTCTTCCAAGTTGTTGATGGTGATTTGTGATTCCGCTTGAGGCATTCACATTATTGGTGCTAGGATCTTAAAGCTCCAAGTAATCAACTAGAAGAAAATGTATGTATTCTATCTAGTTTTGTTATGCAAATACATATGATTATATGCTAGTTAGGGTAATACCTTGGAAACTTCAAGTTTGCATGTATAATAGAGAAAACATAGATCCAATGTATTTAGGGTTGCATGAACACCTTAAGAGTGTTAGAATGTTCATAACCCATCAATAACAACATCGTGTCATCGCTCGAGGACGAGCTCGTTGCAAAGGAGGGGGCAATTGATACAAGCCCAACACTTATCAACCCAACAAAGAAGCCACCAGGCCCAAGAGAATGATACGTAAGCCTGCTAGATTCCGAGAGTAATCAGGGAACGGAAGAAGGAATCACAATTGAGAATTAGTCTTTTATTGAATTAGTCTTTTCCTGGCTTCATGGCTTGAGATTAGCTCACATGTTAAGCACAGATAAGGTCCATGACCACACGTAGTTCCTTAATTTCAGTTATTTCCTTGCTTATTTAAGTATTTGTAATTTGTTGTTGAGTTTAGAAAAAAATACAAGGAAAATTGTTTTATTTTTTGTGTCTATTATTCCGGAGACTTGCCATCTTAATCAGGCATATAAGAGTGTTTAAATTTTAAAAACGAAATCACGCCGAATAAAAAGTTATTTTTTAACTAAATGATTTTTCAAAAAACGAATAATCTCACACCTCTAAATATGTGAGTTTAAATTTAAAAAACGAAACCAATGCCAAATAAAAAGTTAGGCCCGTTGCACGTGTGTTTCTTGTGCGAAAGATGCAGAAGCGAGAGCTAGGTAAGCAAGGCGGAGGGCCGGGTGGCTCCGGCACTCCGGCGGCGAAGAGAGGCCGCCCTTTCGGAAGCACTAATAGCAACTTAGCTGCAGCTGCGGCAGCCGACGCGGCAGCTCCATCGACACTCCTTGGCCCATCGCTCCAAGTTCACTCCTCTTTCGCTGGTTAGTCCTTTTTCAAAACCCTAATTCTGTTATTATTCCTCTATCTTTCGCGAAACATCAAAACTTTGTTAGCTATCACTTCCCAAATATGTAGTTTTATCTAGGTTTTGTTACTAATTTATCTTCCGTACGTAAAAATTTTAGACATTGTCCTAGGTTTTATGCAATTGTCTATTTTTTTTAAAGAAAAGGCTTAGTATCCGCAAAACATCTGAAGCTGAAAGCAAACATATGTTTATTTAAAGTCATTGCGTACCCTTCTTCTTGGAAAGGTACTATCTTCATCAATACTTCAGATTATATTTTCCAAATCATCGTGATTATGTAAGTAATACTAAAAATATTGATAGAAGTACTTATTTGGTGACACTAGGTTGTGATATATTTGTGACTTGTTAGCACTCATTGTTACCAAATGATGTATGTTTTCATTGATGACATAGTAAAATTGTGTAAAAAACAAGTTATATACCTACTTGCATTGTGTTAATTATAATGTAATTATAGAATCAAGTTTATATAACTAGTTTTAATGAAAACTAATGACAGTTTTTGGTGATACAATGTTTCACATCTGTATTCGTTGATACAATGCATTGTTTAAAAAAAAATGAAACTACTTATCTCCAAGATTTAATCTTTTTCCTCTTGTCCAGATCAAAACAATAAAAGGATTGTTCTTGCTCTTCAAAGTGGATTAAAGAGTGAGCTGACATGGGCACTAAATACACTAACTTTACTTTCATTCAAAGAGAAAGATGAAGTGCGAAAAGATGCAACTCCATTAGCAAAGATCCCTGGATTACTTGATGCTCTTCTCCAAGTTGTATGTAACCACTCTTTTCTAAACTTTCATCTTTTAAAATTAATGACACCCATGATTTATTTATACAATTATACATTTCATACATCTGATTAAACAGATAGATGATTGGCGTGACATCACTCTCCCAAAAGAGTTCATAAAGACACCAAGAACAAGGTCTCTAGGTGTTAACTCCATTGTTACTGGATTTGGAAACGAGTTCAAAGCGTTAGGCTCAAATGATGTGAAGTAAGATCCATTTCCATTTACATTTCCTTTTACACATAACTAGATTCTTGATATGTGTGAAACAATAACACTTTTTATTTTTTTTTAAAATGGCAGCATAGGGAATGTTTCAGAGGCATCAATGCAGAAAAAGTCAACAAAGTCTCAGCCTGTAGAATGGTGGCTTTCTGAAGATGGATTATTTAATTTGGACGATGAAGGGCGTGCAGAAAAGCAACAATGTGCAGTTGCTGCTTCAAATATTCTCAGAAACTTCTCTTTTATGCCAGAAAATGAAGTCATTATGGGCCAACATCGCCATTGTTTGGAAACAATCTTTCAGTGTATTGAAGATCATGTTACAGGTGCGATGAAAAAACAATGAATGTTTTATATTAATGATATGTTTCATCATGCTTTGTGAATATTTGACCAAAATAACCCCGCCCCAAGTCTGTAAATTCTTGCTTTTCTATAATTCAACTTGTGTAAAAGAATATTTTTATTTATGACAGAGGATGAAGAACTTGTAACAAATTGTCTAGAGACAATTGTGAATTTGGCTCCATTGATTGACCTTAGAATCTTTAGCTCATCAAAGCCTTCCTACATCAAAATGACGTAAGAATTTATATGTATTCTCTTTGCTATATATTATATTTAAAAATCAATGTCATAAATAGGTAATGAATTTTTTGTTTTTATCCCACAAAATACCATTGTTTTATAAACTTAATATTAGAAGGTATTAACTATTAAGTGTGTATTTTTTTGACTAAAAAGAAATAGTTCATTACCCATTTATGACACTGACTTGAATTTTATAAATCATGCTTATGACTTTTATTGTTTTTTTTTTTTAAAAAAAAAAGAGAAAAAAGAGCAGTTCAAGCAATTATGGGAATATTGGGATCTTCTGTAAAAGCCTGGCATTGTGCAGCTGCAGAGTTACTTGGGCGTGTGATAATAAACCCTGATAATGAACCTTTTCTTCTTCCTTCTGCTCCACAGGTTTTTTCTTATTTTAATTTCTTTCTGTTAAATACAAGAAATAGCAACCTACTTTTATTTATATATTTGTTTATTATAAATTATAATTTTTAACATCCTACTTTCATTTTCTTCCTATTTCAGCCTTCTACTTTGAAAAATCTACATTATTATAGCAAATGTCATCTAATTTCAGATTTTTTTTTCATTGCTATAATTAGAGTAAATTACACGAATGGTCCCTATGGTTTGGGGTAATTTGCGCGGTTGGTCCCTAACTTATTTTTTTAACTCGGAAGGTCCCTACTCTTTGTTTTTATTACGCACTTGGTCCCTACTGTTTGTTTTTGTTACGTGTTTGGTCCCTATCTTACCTAAAAAGACTATGATTTGAATAGGGAAAAATGGTGGGGTAGGTAAGGTAAGGTGAGGGGGGTGGGGTTGGGGGTGTGTTAATTTAAATAAATTAAAAATTCAAGGGAAAAATAGTTTTTTTAGGTAAGACAGAGACCAAACGCGTAACAAAAACAAACAGTAGGTACCTTAATAAGTTAGGGACCAAACGCGCAAATTACCCTAAACCATAGGGACCATTCGTGTAATTTACTCCTATAATTAAATAGATTTTACAATGTACAATGCTGTAATAAAAAAATGAAAGTAGGATGCTATAAATAACAAAACGTATAAATCTAAATACTTTGATATTTCTTTCAGTTTGTCTTATTTCTTTCACTGAAGTTACATTAACAAAGAAGTGAATATAAATATAAATTAATTGAAATTACAAACCCTAATTTAAATATGATTTTGATTGGATTTGCAGATATACAAACGATTGGTTGATCTTTTAAGCTTGCCAGCTGTAGATGCACAAGCTGCTGCAGTGGGGGCCCTTTATAACCTTGCAGAAGTCAATATGGACTGCAGACTCAAGCTTGCTAGTGAACGATGGTTAGATTATTTATTTATTTATTTATTTTCTAAATCAACTGTTTCATTTGAAGGGCTAAATGCAAGATATAGCAATCTACTTTTATTTATATTTGTATTATAAGTTTATATAACAGTTTACTTTCATTTCATTCTATTACATGATTTACATCATTATAGCATCCAAATCAAAGGCAATTTTTACTTGCTATAATTGGAAAGATTTTTCAAAGTATATTAAAGTCCAAATAAGGAAAAACTAGAAAGTATAATACTATAATTGGGTGGATTTTTAAACAACAACAAAATGTATTCACAATGCTGTAGTAGAAAGAAATAAAATTAGGATGCTATACTATTTAGTATTTACTACTTACTATTTACTATTTACTACACAAATATATGAAAGTTTGTTGCTATAATTGAGTGGATTTTTCAAAGTACAATATCATAATAAAGATAAAATTTGAAAATACAATGCTGTAATAGAAATAGAAAGAAATAAAAGTAAGATGCGATTTATAGTACACAAATAATTAAATGTACATTGCTATTTGCTTTGTAATAAAAAGAAATAAAAGTAGAATGCTATAATTGGTTTCACAGGGCAGTTGACCGGTTGCTTAAAGTCATCAGAGCACCACATCCAGTTCCAGAAGTGTGTAGAAAAGCAGCAATGATTCTTGAAAGCCTTGTTTCAGAACCACAAAATCGACCTCTGCTTTTAGCCTATGAAAATGCTTTTGCAGAAATATTATTTTCTGATGGAAAATATTCCGATACATTTGCAAGAATTTTATTTGAATTAACTTCAAAGCCCAACAGCAAAGTCGCAACTGCTCGTGGTATATGGGGCATGTAGCAGCTGCCAGCCGCTGTTTTTGCGAAAATTAAGGTTTAATTCTAATTCATATATAGGGTTGAATGCATGAAATAATATTCTACTTTGGAAATTGGAAATCCATCTGTTTGTAGTAGGAGTAAATCATATCTTTTGTCCATGTGCTAAGTCAAAAGTTATGGATTTAGTCCAGATGTTTGCTTTTGTTACATAAATGGTCCCTAAAGTGCAGTATGGTCAATGCAAGAAGTATTAATATACTTACATTGATTTGTTTATTATAACATTAAACTTTGGAAAATCTATCTGATAATAGTAAGCGTAAATCACAACTTTCGTCCATGTGCTATGTCAAAAGTTATGGATTTAGTCCAGATGTTTGCTTTTGTTGCACAAATAGTCCCTAGAGCGGTAGTTTGGTTACATGTTGGGATCTTTAACTGTTTCACTTAACGGTACATCCGTTAAGTCCACCTGTCAGGTCCAAACATGCAACTAAACTACCGCTTTAGGGACCATTTGTGCAACAAAAGCAAACATCTGGACTAAATCCATAACTTTTGACATAGCACATGGACGAAAGTTGTGATTTACGCTTACTATTATCAGATAGATTTTCCAAAGTTTAATGTTATAATAAACAAATCAATGTAAGTATATTAATACTTCTTGCATTGACCATACTGCACTTTAGGGACCATTTATGTAACAAAAGCAAACATCTGGACTAAATCCATAACTTTTGACTTAGCACACGGACAAAATGGTTCATCCATTGAGTTAAATGGTTTAGGGATCAAACTACGCTTTAGGACCATTTGTGCGACAGATCAAACATCTGGACTAAATCCGTAACTTTTGACATAGCATAGGGATGATAGCTGTAATTTAGTATTATTGTTGTCATTCAAATACAAAGCAATTTTTATAGGTGCAATTGCTAATTTCTCAAAGTACGATGTCTTATTGAGAAAAAGAATAATAATATTACAATCTTATAATTGGTAGCTTTTTCAAATTATAACGCTTTATTAGAAAATGAATGAAAGGAGGATGTGGTGAATTCACAAATAGATGAAAGTAAATTGCTATTTTCTTGCATTTGTCTTGATATCAAACATGAATTTGACACTTTTCTTTTCTTGTTGTAGATGTGGGAAGCTATGAGTAAATGTTGTGAATCAGTTCTTAAGGTATTTTAACTTTTAACTTAGATCAACGCTTCGGAATTCTAGCTTTGTAGTAGGGTTTTTTTTTTTTTTTTTGGTAACTTTTATTGCGGAAGATATATGTAATTGTGACAAGTCCTAGGGGTTGTTTCTTGTTTACTTAATGGGCCTAATGAGTTTTTTTCCTTCCAACTTTTAATCTGAACATATACACATGAATCTTTTTTTTTTTTTTACTTAATCTGGACAAAGTAAGTGACGTAATGGGTTAAGTAAAAATACCTGGATTAATTATTAAGATACTAATCTTTTATTTGATGGTTTATTCTGATTAAAAAGGAAACTTATTTTATGTATAGAACGTATATAGATATTATTTTTTGAAAATAGAGTGACAATGTATTGATAATAAAGAGAACAGTGACTAAACTATCAGTTTTTTTGTATATTACAAATGTTATTTTATTTATTATTATTTAATTATTTTTAATTTATTTATCTCACTAGGTTTGATGGAAAATAGTTGTTCAAGCAGCTTTTACAGTTTTCAGTCTAAAGGATTTGCGAACTTATTAGCAATAGTAACCGGCTAAATAGGTTTTAACTTTTAAATCATTTTTCATATCATTGGAACTGAAAAGCAAAGTTAAAGGTATGAGATCCGGACCCTAGGAATAGAGCCAGAGTGTTCGAGAACAAGTAGTCTTCCAAGTAGTCATTGACTAAACTTTTATTGATTGAATAATTCTAAAAACAATGGTGTACCATATTTATAACGACTTGCTATAAACATAACCGAATATTCAAAAAATAGGAAAAGTATTCTGAAGTAGATAACTAAACAAACTAAATAACTATATTTATATTAAATACGGAAAATAATCTTTCGTACTCAATCTTAATCCCTATTGTTTTCCACTTTGCTTGTGGTAAACCTGACCAAATTATCGAGGGTTATCATTACTCTCCGCCTAAAGACGCACTTTGTCTTGAAAGTGGAAATCAGGAAATTGATGATTTATGACATCGAATAGTTCCTTCAGGAAATCCAACCAACATATTAAAACCTCTTGCCCACTGGTTCCTTCATGCATTCCTTCAACCTGATCTAATCTAGCTGTAGTAAAACTTCCATATCCCAGAGTTAAAGACGCCGATAATTAAGGGGCAGTACCTTATGCATTCCTTCAACCTGACTTGACTGCTGGTAAAACTTCCATATCCTCAGTTAAAGTCGCCGATAATTGATGGGCTGCCACCTCGTCACCAATAACCTTTCGTAGTTGAGATACATGAAATAAATCATTTAATCGCAACCGGTAGGCCACTTTGCCAATTTGCTCTTAGTACTTCAAAGGGACCGAAATACCTTGGACCTAGTTTTTCATTTAAACGTCTCGCTACTGAGTGTTGATGATAAAGTTTGAGTTTCAAATACACCCAATCACCAATAACAAACTGAACCTTCAACTTGATCTTTCATTAATTGTGCTCACAACCAATAAGGGGAAATGACACAAATGCCCTATAAAAGTTTTAGGGTTGGTCGATCCAGTCCTTAAAGTTTTTGTCGGGCTTTATGGGGGTATAAACTAGGATACAACCTGCTCTTTTAGTCCCTCTCAACCTGTAATAGCTGGTTCAGTGATCATTTAGACCAAAAAAACTCACATTGTGTCCCTATAAAGCTTGAAAAATAAGTTCGGGGATCAAATATCTATTCACCAGTCTCTCGAAGCTTCTTCTCCACATCTCTCCCCTTTTGCTCTCCAATGAACATAAGAACAAGTATAATGAAATTTTTGTCATCGTTAATTCTGTAACATTCGATTCTAGGTATTTTTCCTTTTTGGTCCTTGAAGTTAATATATATATATATATATATATATATATATATATATATATATATATATATATATATATATATATATATATATATATATATATATAAATATTTGCAAAAAGGGTCCCTCGTACGCTGGGCGTACGTTTGGTACGCTTAGCGTACAAGCGCACATCTGATCGCACGAATGGGGGGGGGGGGGGGGGGGGTTTAGCCACATACGTTGAGCGTACGTAGCCAGAGATTAAACCCTAATTTTTAGCGCATGGGCCCTATTTAAGCAACATTATGGCCTTTGGACACTCACCCTCACAAGCCTTAAGTGTTCATTACGTCCCTTTTAACCCTAGTTCACCCCTTTGAGCATTTTGAGCATTGGAAGTGATTTTTGTGGCATTTTTGGTGTGTGTTCAAGAAGGAGAAAGTTGGTGACCAAGCATTGTTAGCTTATAGATCCAGAGTCTTCATCAACTTTGGAAGCTTTTGAAGGTAAAAAGTTCTTACCTTGGTGATTCATTTTGATTATTAGAGTTTAGGGCTTAGTTAAGGGTTTATTTGGTCCCACAGGTTCTTTTCGTGAGTTTGGATAACTCCAGAAGTTAGAAATGTTAGATCTCAGTCCCTTTGATGATTTAGATGCATATGAATGTTATCTTGATGGTTGATATGAGTCCATGCATGAGTTTAAGCCCTTAATGTGAGCTTGGTTGGACAAAAATGGATGTTGGGTTCCATTAAGACATGCTAAGGCATAAAGATGCCAACTTTATGTCTTAGAACCCCATAATAATCGAGATCTGAAAGTTGGATCGAGTGACCGAAAGGATTAAGCACCTAATGGCTTGAGGTGGCAAGCAACTTAGTACACTGAATGTACCAAGGGGTACGCAGCGCGTACCGGGAAGCAGTCGTGTACGCCGAGGTACGTTTCTCAGTGGGATTTTGGCTTTCGGTTGGGTTTGGACTTTTGGGCCTTAGATAGATTTTGGGCTTTTGACTGTTTGATGCATGAATGGACCTTAGGATTTTGTTAGTAGGCCTCAAGTTACTTGAATTGGGCCTTTTGGACCTTGGGGTCCATTATTGTGTTATTGGGCCAAGTTTGGTTAGGCCCATTATGGGAAAGGTAAATGGGCTTTTACCTTAGGGGTCTAGATTCTGGATTTAGGCCCCCAGTTATGATTTATAACCCATTTCTGATTAGGATGATTTGTTTGTGTTCAGTGTGGGATCTTCCAGTTCGGTAGCCAAGCATTTTGTTACGTATCAACAGATAGAGATGAGTTTTCTCACTGTATCAATGGGTCAAAGGCACTAAGGCCGGCACATTATTTGTGATATAGGGTGTTAGCTATATTTGAGATGTATATGAAATACCAAGATTTGGCCCCTGACAATTGTATGAAAGACTAGGATTTGGCCCCTGACAATTGTATGAAAGACCAGGATTTGGCATCGGATAAATGTATGAAAGACCAGCATCTGGCCGCTGGCAATTGTATGAAAGACCAGGATTTGGTCCCTAGGCAACTGTAAGACCGAGATTTAGCCCTCGACATGAAATTGCTTGTAAGACTATGGTTTGGCCCATAACATTATCTTATTTATGTTAGTATGTGGTACTTTGGGGAAACTCACTAAGCTTTTGCTTACAGTTTGTATTTGTGGTTTCAGGTACTTTCGGTACTAAGGGGAAGGGCCCGACTTGATGGCGCAACATTCACTCCTCACTATTTTTCGCACATTTCATATTGTATTATGATGATTTGAAATTATTGTTATGTAAGGGTTTTTGGAACAATGTGATGGTTGTAACTCTTGTTTTTACAATGAAAGTTTTTTTCCTGGTTTTTGGGTTGTTACAAGTTGGTATCAGAGTCTTGGTTTGAGGGATTCGGGCACACTTTCAGGTGTGTCAGAACTCAAACTGAGGAAATGATAATCTTTTCAAAAGAAAAAGAACTTGAAATTTTGAAAAAGATTCTTTTAAGAAAAAGGGGAGTGCAATGCGTGCAATCAGCTGAGCTCAAGTAAGTGTTTCCCAAGTTACCCATATTTATGTATTGTGATTAATATGTTTGATACGTGAACTGCATGCTAGATTAGGGTTGAGGATACCTTCAGGAATTAAATGATAGAACTGCCTGAATTGTGTGATGCCTTATAGCCCGATAGAATTTGATGCCATGTATTACTTGGAATTAATATCGGCTTAGTTAATTGCTATGTGTATGCTTTTAAATTTGTATATGCTTAGGATTGTATAGCCCTAGAATGATCGATTTGGCCTCATTTCCTGTTCCTTGTTTGGTTGTGGACTTAGGGTAGAATCTTCATTCAAAAGTCCATGCGATCCTATTTTGAGTACAACTTGCATGCATAGGGCAACCATCGGTGTTGATTGAGGTTCTTGGTACTGCTAGTGGTAGGGGTTGAGAGTTCCTAGAAAGTCTAGGATATGTATGATGTGTAGCATAGGTTGTTCTTGATTATTATTACTAGCTCATTAGGTTGTTCAAGCAGCTTTTAACGTTTTCGGTCTAAAAGATTTGCGAATTTATTAGCAATAGTAACCAGCTAAATAGGTTTTAACTTTTAAATCATTTTTCATATCATTGGAACTGAAAAGCAAAGTTAAAGGTATGAGATCTAGACCCTAGTGTCACAACTAGCATTTTTAGCTAGGAAATTCTATTTTCATGTAAACATCAACTATTGTAAGACTTGTACTCTAAGTGAATATCATACTATATGCTAAATTGAAATCATCCATTTGAATCAAAACTCATGAGTGAAGTTCAAAACCTAATACAATTGTAACAACGTAAATTTCCAAAGTAATTTTTCATTTTTAAAACATACTTTTATTCATAAGGTACTATCAAAACATAATGTATCCAATGTTATCATAACAAAACATATCCCAGAATCTCAAGTCATAAACTTCATGAGTGTGTACGGATCATGCCGGCGCCTTCCTGCGATCCTCGCTAGTACCTGAAACACATAACACAACAACTGTAAGCATAAATGCTTAGTGAGTTCCCCAAAATACTACATACAACACATAAGCCATTCGGGGCTATAGATCTACGAGACCTTCCGGTCAATGTGTCTCAGGGGCCTTCCGGTCCCACAATCTGAGTAGACCTTCCAGCCCTACTCTGTCGACCTTCCGGTCCATACCATATTGACCTTCCGGTCCATCCACTGCTGACCTTCCGGTCCATACCATACTACTCATACATACATA